AGGGGTTCAATTTACCATAGCGGTATTTTGACCCCGGGGTCAATTTTAAATGGGGTTTAAAATACCATATAACACCGGGCTGCACTTAATTTTATACCAATAAAACTTTGTGTTTCTGAAAATGTATATTCTGCGTGGGTAATAATTCTAAATATGTACTGTACCCCTCTCAATTAAACTTCACCTTCCCATGGTCATTACTTTTATTTCTGCCCTAGATTTTACTACGATGAATATATTTTATATCCTTACAGAATAAGTTTATTCTTATGAGCGATATTTCTTAAAATGATATTTATAAAAGTGCAGCCAAACTGCAAGGCCAAACATTGTATATTTGAGAGAAGTTAGTTTAAGATTTAAATTATATGTCTGACTTAATACTTACCAGTAAGACGTGTTTATCATAGAAATTTTTCATAAATCTAAAACTTCACTAAAAACACTGAAATATTGAACATTGAGTACAACGAAGTCTGTAGAGTCAGTCAACTAGTTGGAAAAAAACGTTTTCCCAAATCTTAGTCTATATGACTGGATGTCAACCGGAATGAGCCGGATACTGTAGAAATATCAGAAATTCAAATTGTATAGTCTTATTTTTTTTCAACGACACCTTTCCGATACAATAAAAGAGGCAAAAGATACCAAGGGGACATTCAAAACTGATTTTTCGATGAGAAACTCTCACAGTCGCGGCACAAAAATGAAGTCCACAAAAATCTACATAAAAATAATAGCAACCAAAAAAACAAGGTGATCCTAGGTGCGCCGGAAGGTGAAACATATCCTGCTCCACATGTGGCTCCCGTCGTAATGTTTTATAAATTAAAATTAAGTCGTATGTCTAATTCGGGGATGTCACATTCGAAGAAAAAAGGACGGAACTGTGGTTATGACAATCGATCAAATCCGTCGTCATCTGTGTAACAGATATTCCATAATGATCAACGAACCTGTGGTGGCGTACGTAAAAAATTCGAGAAGATGACTTCAACTTTACCACCTTGAATCATTGGTTTTATAGTTTCCTTGTAAGCAGCAATTTTCTATTGAAGAAATCATGATAAAAAACGCACACTCTAGAATATAGTATCAACTTGGAGAGATATGCTCCACATCGAGGCGCCGATGTTATGTTGCTACATAGAAAATGAACATTTCTGAATTGAACAGCTGAAACAGCTCTTTTTGTCGTAAGATTTTGTTCGCAATCGACCCTCATTGTCAATTTCTAGATGTGAGTCAAGTTATGAAGCAAACATAAATGTATCTGTGTTATACTTTGTTTCGATTGGATATATGCATTCAACATAGTCACCAAGATTTTAATTATTTATTGAAAGGATATCATCTTTACATCGAAACATGAAGTTAAAAGGATAATGTTAGCTTCTTTTCATTCCTCCTAAGAAACTCTTGTATGAAGTCTGCCTCGATTGAATAAAAGAACAAGTCGGCAGAAGAAGAGCACATTTCGTTGCCTTAGGAAGTCCGATTGTTTGTTCAAAACAAGTCCTTCAAATATAACAAATATCAAATCAATCATGAAATCAAGCATATTAACATTATCAGTTCTATCATAGAATGTTTTGCCTGAATCAAAGTGGTATTTTATAAAGTATGATTTGACCCCTCCTAATCCAGATTTAAGATTATGTTTCAGATTGAAACCTTTTCTCTTTGTTTGAAGTTCGTGTGATTTCTTCAATTTTTTTTATTTGTATATAATACATTTTTATAATCTGATAATGGTCTTCCTCTTTCCGTTGGGCATTATATATTTCTCATGTTAATCGTCATCCAGTTGGCATTACATTTGTATTATCGATTGAAAGATTTTGTCTGGAAACTGAAAAATTGATTTACGTGTATCCATACGGCAATCATTTTATATCATAAGTCGAGTTCAACGTTATTTTATTTTCATATATGGGTGATTTATGTCATGGAATTCAATTGATACGTTTTGCGCTGGCATTTTTACAATATACTTAGTGCATTAGCAGTGTTGTGTTCCCTACATTAAAGCTGATCTAGCATGGTTATGAAGACAATCGACTTAAATCGACACTTATTTAAGTTTTACGATAACCATGAGGAATTGGTAGGACTGACCCGACGTATGTGTATCTAAACTCACTAGCAACAAGTGTTCGTAGTCTTAGATCTTGCTACCAGTAGTTTCGTTTCTGTACCTTTGCAGATTTCGTCCTATTCCCAGTTCTGACACTCTGAAAAAAAAATATTAACAAAATTACCGAACTCCAATGTTATTTCAAAAAGGGTAAGTCCATAACAACTGACAAAATCAGACTGAGTATTGATTTACCTTACATTTATCATTACGACGCATCCGATCTCGCTCCGCTCGGAATTCATGCAATTTTCCTAAATCGTGTAATAGTACATTTTTAACGGTTTAACGAGATTGAACATTTGATTGGGTTAACTACTGATGCTTCTAATTTGAGACTATCAAAAGGATTTTATCAGATATATTTATAAAAATTCTTTTCATATTCAATCTCAAGGGCAAGACAAGTGGACGTATTGTAATTCTATGACTAAAATTAATTTACTTACTAAGATGTTTAAAAAAAGATTGAATAGACAAAAATATGGGGAAAAAATCGATCACTCAAAATATATCATGACGACTTGTTAAATTGATGTATGGACATTTTAGATGATTTTTCAATATCTGAAATATTTATACTGATTTTAAACTAGCATGTATATCAGGAGACACGAACTCTGTCACGCACCCTGTCTCGTTCCTTTTGTTGTTCATACAATATCCTCAGTTTAAGTGTCTTACATCGGTAAACTACCGTTGCTCCTAATTGATGACTCAAAACATAGTTAACAAATGCGTCATATTTCAACGTAAGAGGTTAAACATTGACTGTTTTAATAAAACACTGAGTATTCAGTCATTTTTGTGTCAATACAATTCGTACAGTGTATATTTTTTACTCCAGTAAAAAACTGTTGACTCCAATTAGTACCTCAAAATATTATATTTCCTGTTAAAATGTCAGCACTTTAAAATATCAATGCGAGGGTGAAACTCTTATATAACACATATAGTGTTACCTTTCAACAAATTGTCAATCCTCAATTATCAACTCAGTAGTAAGTGCTTCCGTACTGGCAAGATTTATAACATACGTTTCATTTATTCCCTGTTGACAAATTTAATCTTATTAAGTAATCAAGGTGTAAATCCTCATACAAAGTTTACTATATGTATTTGGCTAATTTATAAGTCCCTTTTGATCAAAAAGATTTCTGAGTAATTTTACAATTTTAAGTTAAAGAATGAAATTGATTTTGAAGGAAAAAACATTTTCATAAATTCATTCAGAACATACAAATCAAATTAAGAAAAAAGAACCGAGGGAATGCTATGAATTCCTAAAATGAGAGAGATCGTGTGCGTCGGCAGAGTAAGTTTCTCCTTCTGTGCATATATTACCCGTCATGCGAATACACAATCGGTCAAAAAGTCAAAATCGGGAATAAGACACCTTCGGATAATCTACAGAACAGAAGATTATTCTAGTATCAAAAGATCTTAAACCGCAAGAAAAATGTCGCCAGTGATTTGAGCCACAGACAAATCGTATCAGTCAACGAAATCAAATACAATTCGTGATGTTGACCGTAAAAATCATTAAGTGTCGAATCAATCGTTCTTCCTCGCTTCTTTGTTCCGAGTATTTCTGTGTCAAGAGCGTACTCCTGTGATTAAAGTTCATATAATGAACATGCAATATTGTAACGTATCAACCAAGATAGCTAAACGACAAACGATTATGCAGAGGGTATGGCTACTGTCATAAACGGAGTGGTAAGATTTAACTCTTTAACATACTGCAATAATGAGACATTTGGTACAAATTGAACATAATTCGTATCCATAAAATCATTTATTTAGCGATAAACACTTTTGTAGTAGATAGTTTTGGTATAATATCGGATATATTATATTTGTTTGTTACGTTTGCAATGGTGAAGATCATTAACAATCATGAAATCATTTGTTTAAAAAGATAAAAAGACTTTCCATATATATTAATGTGCAATAATTTCTTTTTAAAATATACTGAACCTGTAGCTTGAGCCATAGTTAAGAATTGAAATGTTGATTACATGTCCAGGCATACGCAAAAATGCTGTTAGAACGTCAAATAAAAACATTCAATCAAACATGAAATAATCTGAAAATTGTCCTAGTATAGGAATTTTTAAATTGTGTTTGTGATTGGCCTTGTTTCTGGATGGTTTTAAGTGGCTGAAATTTTATAAAAAAAAATGATATAAGTGAATTTTGTTCTAAAAGTTGGTAAATCAATCATTTGAATTCCTTTGGTCTGCAGAACATGCAGAAGAGATATAGATGCGTTTGTGTTCTTTTAAACGTTATGTTTATCATACATATTCAATACCAATTGTTTTGTTTCTTTTATGAATAAAATGAGATATGTGGTATACATACTTGAAAAAAATGAGATGTACTATATACTTATGTGATATCCTTTTCCAACCAAATTTTACAAATTGCAGGATTATAAAAGTCTCTGCATTGACAACAAGTCAATACGTATTTTGATTCATGCTAGCATATTTTATTCAAACACAGTTTGTAAGTTTAATTTCAATTCAATTTTTCAATTTATGTTACATGTGGTATGAAATCGTGTCCAGAAATGCAGATAATAGGCGATTAAGCATTATCGTATTGTGTTAAAAAAATGGAACAGTTCGGTTGCACGGTGTGAAATTGTAACATTGACTGTATTATCAACTGATATAGACACTTAGTTTTGATCTTTATATTAATACAAACACGTGTGTATGTGTAAAGCACTATGTGCATATAAGATGTAGATGTTTACGTTAATGAAATCTAACTTACGTGGATTTTGATCATACCATATATGGTAATATCATACATAACTATGGAATACTTATACTGAATCGGTTATGAAACTTGTTTATTACTTATATCATGAGGATATTGCTTAACACCGGCAATTTGAATATTTATGTAAGTATTACATTTATAACCTTGCAGAACTAGGATTAATGACTAATAGATAATTTAAATTGTGGTTCAATGAACTATGTTATTTTTAAACGAAAACTGAATTTAACTTGCCCCTGCATTCGAATACATGATTTCCTTTTAATCATTTGAATAGTTTATTAAAGGATATTAATCATCGTAGTAGCAATAAAACTAAACTTACCAAATTCAATATAGAAATTAGACGAAGGGTGTGGTTATCAATGAAACAACTATCCACCAAATACCAAATGAAGGTTTTCGAAACTATTGGTTCGTATGGTCTTTAACAATTATCAAAATTTGTATCGTAAAAAAAGCTAAAAAAGGCTCCGACATGACATAATCTTTACCAATTCAAATGAGAAACCCAATTGGCAGATGTATGTACAAAACAATTAACGAATAAATAATATGATAGATAGCATTGAATTACAGGCTCCTGACTGGAACATACAGACAGACAAAATGTTCGTCTTTTAAACAAGTACCACCAGCCCTACATTACTTTTTGGTAATAAGATTAAGAATATTGCGAGAATTTGTATGTTCCTTTAAGGTCAAATAAATAAAAATTGCGGGAAATCGTATTCTTCTTTTTGATGTTTAATGGAAAACTACTGTTGCCTTAATTAATCAAGTGATTCATGACTAAATATTGTGTTTGAAATAAATACTTCCACTGAATCACGGTTATATGCATAGAATCAGGTAAACAAGATGTCAAAGCCTAATAAAACGCATTGAATAATGAAATAACAAAAACTTATGGATATGTATCCCAGTTGATACGATATTCCAGAGCTGCATTTCATTGATAAATAGTTGCTGCTTACAAGAAAGTTATAACACCAAGAGTTCCAAGTGGTAAAGATGAAATCATCCCTTTAAAAATTTTACGAGTTGGTTGACTTTTATGGAACATCGGTTTCACACATGACAGATATATTCCAATTGTCGTAGCCATAATCACGTCCTCCTTTTATCGAATATGACTTAACGTATTAGATTTATCACCGGGTTTGTCTTATATAAGCAACACGACGGGTGCCATATGTGGAGCAGGATATGCTTACCCTCCCGGAGCACCTGAGATCATCCCCGATTTTTGCGGCGATTGTTGTTATTCACATCAGTCTTTGGTTTTCTGTGTTGTGTTTTGTATACTGGATGTCTTTTGATATTATTAGTTTTTTGCCATGGAATTCTCAGTTTGTGTTCGACTAATGTGCAATGTGCCAAGAGAGGACACGTGAGGATTTAAAATGCCCAGTAAATAACAAAAGAATAGACATAGACATAACAGCTGGTTATCAATTCTTTGATACTTTATACTTGCATACACAAGTGTGGGCATTCAGTTGGTTTCACCCATCACACAACTTTGGAACACTTGAATGAAGGCAACGGAATTGCAGAAACACTCCAGAATCACAAGGCAAAATGGCAAAAATCCTGTCAAAACAAATTTTCAGATCTCAATATATCTCGTCCGGAAAAACGAAAACATACCTCTCAAGATGAAGATAAGTCACCTTTTGCAAGAAAAGACGTAGAAGAATAGTCATATAACATAATTTCTCATAGGTGTAAAAAGGTATCATTTTCCAAATTCAAACAGCTGTCCCTTTCACAATGGAAGGGGCATATGTAGCACCTGTGCAAGTTTATGGACTAAGATACACTTTAACTGACCGCTGCTAAATCCAGACCTTATAATTAAGGCGGTGATGGAATTGAAACGATTTTTGAGAAGAAAACAGTCCGGCATTAAGTGACGAAATTAGCCTTTGTTACCTTTAAACTCTAGTCAGACTAATGCTTACCGTATAAGTAAATCCTCAAAATAAACATTGGCAAATTAACATAGAACTTTGCAAAATTTAACAATAAACATATGCTATTATTGGATATATGTTTACCTTATAAGTAAATACTTCTAAATCGATCAACAATGTTGGTAAATACAAATGTGCTAATGAAAGAACGTAATAGGTGTCAACAGCTGGTATAAATTCTGGGACATCACACAGTCGTACAGAAAAATTTTATAAGATGCAAAAAAATAACAGGTAAATATAATTATGTTCTTTTCTCTTCTTTATTTTTTATCAATTTATATCGATAAAATTCATCTTTGTAGTTTTTGGTTTATCATAACTAAATTGTTAAGTTTTCTTCAGCCAAGGTTATAACGGCAGGTGCTAGACGAGTTAGGTTAATCTGGTTTCCTCAGGTGTCCTCTGTGTATTTTATGTTTTGACTTTGAAAACTACTGTTGCTTAAAGGCATCCTCTCAAATGTTTTATTATCTATTTAATAATTACTTAATTTTTCTTTCATTTGTTGTTATTTTCCTTTTTGTTCTTTGATTTTTTGTTTTTGTTTTTGTTGTTGTTTATTTTTGGTTTTCAACATTTTTTGTCTTTTATCTGCCAGGTAACGGTTATTCACAACTAAATGTTTCATATGGATAAATATAGATTCTACCACTGCATCGAGTGTGATACGATATTTATCCACTCGAGACAGTTAAATTTTCAAATTTAAAACACGAGGCTCGCCGAGCGTTTTAAATATTTAAAATTTAACTGTCGAGAGTGGATAAATATCGTATTACACGAGATTTGGTGGTGGAATCTGTTTCTCTAATGATTTTCAAAGAATATGCAGGCAAACGTATTCCTTCTTTTTGAATGATCTGCAAAAAGATGTGTTCTTTCTATGTGACGTTATCAGGCATGGTCGCCTTTTTTCATGCCGTCACAATAGGAAATTGAGAGGAAAGCAAGAAAATTCGACGTCATAATCGGATTTTAACCAATGAAGAACTGAGATCAAACGAACCGCACGTTGATTAAATTTTTTTTATACAATGGGTGCAGAAAGGGATAAATTGGCGAAGAATTAGAGAAAAACATATATCAAATCTTTTCATCTCATTAGCCGTACTTTCCACATATAGTTCTCTATTATTTTTGCTTGTTTCAGTTTTGTTAATAGTTAAGTTATCTGGTCTGTGCTTGTTTTATATTGTGTGTTTTACTTTGCGACTTTCGTCTAGTTAAACAGAGGGGTGTTCTGTGATAACCTTAAACTAGTTAAAACCCAGCTACAGTTCGCTTATGTACGAAGTTAGGCTGTCTGAATCAGTCAGTGTTTGTTATTGGTTGTGCGCGAGTGGTTTTTTTGGGGGGGTGCGAGGTTAAGTCCGTCGTGCAGTTCAAACTTTTTGGTAATACATGTTTTCCTTTGCGTGTATTATTGAATTTTTCAAATTGGAAAAAAACAAAACTTTTGTAATTATGAAATATAAACAATAATATCGTTATAAAAAAAGGTCTAAATGTATGTTTTTAAAGAAGTAACAGTGTAAAAACGGAAGACGTCTATAAAATTAAATACGCTGATTCTTAACAAAGACATTTTTCTTTACTTAAGGCTATACACTGGAAATTGCTTTTACAGTCTCTCATTTGATAATCATTATTTTTATTGAGATGTCGATGGACATCTAAAATGTACAATATTTGTTTCGCACTACGAACTTAATACATAATATCAAATAAGGTGACATGGTATAACTGTTTTTGGCCCAGTGAATATGACCACCCACAAACGTGTCCAATCCCCTCAACGTGTCCGTATGACGTCACTATACGCCCAAACATGTCTAGTTGGTGAAGGACTCTGAAAAGTTTCCTTTTCATAAACGCCTAATCATTGCCATATTTCAAAAATGTTCAAACGTGTCCACCTTTATGAAAAAGTGATTCGTTATCACAAATTATGTTGTTTGAAAATAAACCGATATCATTTCAGTGACTTTAAACCCGGTCTCAAAGTGCTCAAGTAAGAAATTCTCGAATAGATTATTAAAAACATTTCCATAAATGTGATTTGAAAAGGGTGCTGTTTTGTTGTAAAAAAGGGGACAGTGGGACAGAAACATATTAAAGGACCACGGTTCCACGATTTAAAACACAATGGGCACCGAATGTTAGATAAAAAGTGCGTGCGCTGCGTCATTTGAAAATTGTCAAGTCACAAAACTGTCTCAGATAGTTTTCATGCATTCGTTTTTACCCGTATTAGTCGAAAAATGAAAGAAGATACTTAGTTAAAGGAGGAAAATTCAAAATCGAGTATTCGTTAAATTGAACAGATGGTCAGAAGTCAAAAATGTGTGAATTCATGCTGCTTTCAAATGTTCAAACATTTGAAAATTTGGAACTTTACTATGATGTGACTTAAAAATCTCTGTAAATATTCATCGTGGTTTAAAGATATTACAGGTTGATTTATGCACATACTTAACTATAACTCTTCAAATTAAAATCACCTAATTTTCTAATACTTCATTTTGGTATGCCGAAAACTATGGAAAGGGCCCTCAGAGCACCCCCCCCCCTTTTCTCATTTCTATATTTTTCCTTTTAATTTGAAGAATGCGTATTTGATGTATTGTTTATTTTGTTCTTATCCTGAACACGCATGCGTTACTTTTACCGTTAAAGAAATAATTATCAACCGATTTATCTTTTTCGTTTAATTGATAAATGAAAACAACCTTTGATTTAACCATTTTAAATTATTGTCATTTTTTCAGTTTTTCCGTGAATACAAGCACCTTTTGGACAACTGTAAACAATACTAAGACTAATACCGCTAATGAAGATTATTTAGCTGAGTCAACACAGAAAGTTATTGGGATCATTATCTGTTTCTTTTCGGTTATTGGTGTAGCTGTTAGCATTACAGTGCTGAAAATAGTTCTTACAAAAATACACCATCTCAATTCATCGACTGTGTTCATTCCAGTATTAGCAATTGTTGGCTTTATTGTATCTGCATTTTTAATGCCTTTACATGCTGCAACAGCATTTGACAGGAGTTTTATCTTTGACGAAAACGTATGCATGTTTTATGGATTTACCTTTACCTCGATAGGATTGTTATACATTACCCTTTTAACCACAATGATAGTCCAATTATACAGAGTGATTGTGTCTGCTCATTCAATCGAAGTTGGATTAGACAAAAAGTCTTTTATTTTAGTATTAGGAGGATGCATGTTGCTTTGTGGAATTGCTTCAGGTAAGTGTGGTGTCTATTTAAACAAACAACAAATAGTGTTTTTCCGGGGAAATGAAAACAAAAGTTTGTTATGGAGGGGAGATAAAAATGATATAAATACCAGTCACAAATCATAAGTCAAGGAATGACAGATAACACAAAGGTAAATAATAAAACAATGAAAACAGAAAACAAATACAAATTGAACAATTGTGATGTCATAAACGAAAAAATGGTATCGTACAACAAAATTGTTTGCAAATTATAGAAAAAAAAAACAACAGAGAACAAAATCGTAAAAAATAACTCTTTCTGTTATATTTGGTTCATATATAAATATATCAACAACTAAAAAAAAATGTGACCGCACGAAAAAACAACGGCTATTTCGTATTCGAAGCTTTAAAACATTTATGAATTTAACATTCACCTGGTGTTGAGCAAACAACAGTCAGCCAGTTGTTAATTTAACTCCATAATATGCATGTACAGCAATAACCTTACAACTGAATCTTGAAATACTCTGGATATTAGATTCAAAAGCGTTTATTAGAACACCGTGGTTGGTTGAAAACATCCAAAAAAACCATTTTCAAACAATAGCTTGATGTTATTTTCAAATTGAAGTACGACCAGTGAAACTACCAATGGTCGTTTAGATTCTGAAACAGCGAATGTTAGTATGACATTGTTTAATTTAACATGTGACAAAAACGTTAACTTGTTTTGTAGCTTTTCCACTATTTGATATTTACTGTGAAAATTTCCTACTGTCCTCATGATTCTGCATCAGCGGATGTTAGTATGCCATTGTATAATTCAACATGTTCAAAAAACCGTTTACTTGTGTTTGTAGCTTTTCCGCTATTTGGAATAGCTGCGTATAAACCTTACCGAAGACCTTCGCTATGCCATATGAGATGGATACCTTGTAACCAAATTGATATAGTTTATTATATAAGTCTTCTGATACTATTCTATGTGATCCCAACCGTCTTGATTTCAGTCTCATACACTGTTATCTATTTCAAGGTTAGTACTTTGGTTGTTGTCGTTTGTGCTTTTACATTTTATGAAATACTGTGGATTCATTTAATTTCGTGGGTACCAATTTTTATGGATAAAGGAACAATTTTATTTTCGTGGATATTTGATTTCGTGTTTCTGCAAAAGTATGCAAACAAGCCTATAGAAAATGTGTATTTAGTTGAACCTTCTAATTTGTGGTTTACCTATCGCCATGAAATCAACGACAATTGGTACCCCACGTATAATAATGAATGCAGGGTACATTGAACCAGTCAATGTCAATTTTTAGCGGAAAGTTACAGAAATAGCATTTTTTCATATCATAGTCTTTGTATATCATATGAAGACTATGATATAGAAGGATATAATATTATATATCCTTAATATATCCTTATAAACTGAACGGTACTGGAAATTATGCTTCCAATTGTCACAAGTAAAAATCTAGCTATCCGAAAATGCAGTAAAATGTCATCAAAGCTACTAGGTATATAAGTCGGTACGCCTGACGTTCATTAAGTATACATAAATTTTATCAGTGGCTCTTGTATCAAAACAGATAGAATGCGATATCAAATATAGCTCAGTGTCAAGTAACATTTTCTATTTAGTTTTTCCCGGACATGATTGCCTGGAAATATAATTAGTAGAGTTATTGCACAATGTATTCAAAATTTGCCAAATTATTTGCCTTGGAGTTCGGTATTTTTTGTTATACTTTTTTACAGAACAATACATAAGGCAAACATGATACTCGATCTCAAATATATTGTTTTATATTTACATAGATAAGACAAGTTTGGTATCAGTAGAAGTGCACACATACAATTAGTGGGTGATTTTGAATATATTTAATTTTATATACTCTCCCTCTTAAAAAAAAAAACGTCATAAGACAACTCGTCCGTAAATTGAACTATACAACTATGAATCAAAACTTCGCAAAATTACTACCAGCTGCACAGAAACATAATAAAACCCAAGAACAGGAACAAATGTTAACTCAAACTACCATATCACATCTCCACATATAAAAAATAACATTGTCACATACAGAGCCACACCAATATATTCCACAATATACCATTTTGGTTTACAGTTAATTCATCCAGGTTGGATTTTCACGGATGTTTTATCTATGAAACATTAACTTCTGATTAATATTTGATACATTAACATGGTTTATTTGACCACGGATCAAAGATATGACGAATGATCATTAAATGATAAAATAATATGGTCAAATATTTTGGTGATGTCATCCACTGAAATAGCAAGATTTTTGTGAGAGGCTGGATCTTGTATGCTATATACTGACTATTGGGTGTTTATGGTATAAAACCCTTTATTCGAGCCCAGTCAGAAAAAAAATAGAAGAAAGTTGTACATATTTAAAACAAAATAGTTCCTACTCATAGCTGTAACTTTGTCAATAAGTAACACATTTGAGTAATTTTGGTATCAAATCAAAACTTTAGGATTTGGATCACTGTAAAAATTTTGTTGAAAATTTTCTTTGAATAATACAAAAATATAATAAAACTGAATAGAAGGGCATGTTTGCCCTGTTGCTCAGATCAGAAGTACCTGCATTTGTACTAATAAAACTTCCCTGAACCAATGCGCTCTTATAAGCAATTAAAGAAGTATGTTGAATGTTTCCGCACAAATCAGGATAAGGTATAGTTTTGACACGAAATGCCTGTCACTTTATTTGAACTTAAGACAAAAAGCTATGAACACTTAAAATCGAAGAATTTAACATAGAAAGCAAACGGGGCTATGAATTAGTTGTTTTATTCCTCATAGGAATGACTAGAGGTATTTGGCGAAGCGTACACTAACTATATGTCACAAATAGCGAATTTATTCCGTGTTTTACGTGGTTATGACTTAAAAATCTTTGCAGAAGTGATTTTTCGGATATAATAGTTTGTTAATTCGGACAAAGTTAAGAAATTTACAATTATTACCCTTGGAAATTATTTATCTTTTGATTGTATATTATAGGTAATTAGCTACATACACTGTTATAAACAATAATAATCCTAAGTTGTATGAACGATACATAATGCTAATAAAGCTTATTGCCGAAAAAAATACCAGTCGAAAGATGGTAAATTTTCCAACCATAAGGGAAGATAAATTGGGTCCAGAAACAAATAATTTTAGCATTTACTCATACAAAACACACACATATATATATATATGTTTGATAAAAGCGAATATTGATTCTTCTATCTACAAATAATATCATCTGGTTGTAAAATTGGTAACATTTAAAGGTATTGTTGCTTCCGTCAGATATTAATTTTCTTTGTGGGTATTCGGATCCCATCAGTTAATCATGTTTGATTAAAGACTCTAAAATATGTAGATAAAGTACGAACCATTCCGATTTGATTTTCAACCAATCAAAATCCATATGTTTTCTTTATTAAAGGTGTAGATATATAGTCATAATCTTTCGTGTTTGTTTGGTGTACTGTAGATTCATTTATTCATGTGGATTGAGTAAAATTTGCATTTTCGTGGATATTTGATTTTGTGGTTTAGCCAAATTCTGCATATAAGTCTATAGAAAGTTTTAAATTCGTTGAAACTACGAAATGCACAAAAAATGTTATTGCTTAAATAATAATGAATCCACAGTTGTGAGGATTGTATATTTCTAATTGATAATTAATTAATTCTACCATTTCAGACCAAGGATTCCTCTTCCAGATCTTTTACTTCAACAAGAAATAGACATCGTCAACTGTTTATGTTAAAGACTTTCATTATTATAACAGGTAATTTTAGTTTTACTGATAATTCAAAACTCGTTAGTAAAATAAAAAAAGTCTTCCATCCGATAATTTTCGCCGTCAAGATCGATTCATGGTCAACTTTATTTGTATGACATTCAAGTATTTTCCACATATTTGACTTAAGATCCAATGATGCGTTTTATGCCTTTTCTTTTATCTTAAGTATCCTGAGTACAGCAGGCATTTTCAGGAATTTTTCTTTTAAAGTAGAATTTCGCTATGTAAAAATGAATGTCAATAATTTATCTGCATAGTGAAGCTATGCTATCAATTGTTCTTATTGTTAGTAAATGTTAACTGAATCTTTTTGGAATTGACTGACTGTCAATAAAATGAGAGAGATAAAACTATTTTTTGGAATTGAAATATAGGTTTTCTTCGGGTTGCAAATATCTAATGCGTACTTCTAATAGAAGACGAAGTCCTCATTACAGTAGAATAATCAATAATAATAAGAAAACAATATAAAAATCAATGTAAAAGTCAATATAAAAGTAAATTGTTTTTTTTTTTACTTTCTTATTTAGAGAAATCCGTTCCTGTTCGGATTTGCTCTTGATTTTTCCTCAACAAGATGAATACTATTTTCTGAAATTTTCTAATCGATTTGACAATAAAAATAGAGTACAATTTCCCGCAATTGATTATATCTTATTACCGACAACAATCTTCAGGCAGGTTTTACTTATTTAAAGGACCAATAATTTGAATTTCTTCTGGTCGTTTGCATCAAAAAGAGTCTTAAATGCAACATATGATTTATAAGATAGGAAATAAAATTCAAAATGAGTTATAGGAAAACTCACCTGATTTATAATGCAGAATTTTGTTAACACTGATTAAAAAGACGTCACACATAAAACAACATTATGTTTACATAGAAAATTACATCATAAATAAAATGCCAATTAGCATAACCAACATCGGAGTAAATTCAGTATTGCTGGTTAGTTTATTGTTCGGGCCTGAATCAAAAAATGGCATTTTGTACAGACCATTGTATATCCTCTTTATATTTATATTACTGGTTATTGTGTAAGATTTTTGTAAATGTAATTATACAACCATTGACAACGTAAATACAAAAATTCTAAGTTATAAGAATCAAGAATATTTTTATTATTCAGTTTTTAAAATATATATATAAGTAAGACTGTACATGGTTAGCTACATAATTCGTCTTATGAGATAATTTAGATATTATCCATTCGCTTGATGTGTTGAGCTTTGATTCTGCCATTCGATAAAGGACTTACCGTATTGAATTTTTCTTGGAGTTCTGTATTTTTGTTATTTTCATTTATACATCTGGAGTGTGGAAATAGTTCACATATCAAGCAATTTAGATGAACTTTGTAGATTGTATATTGAGCAAATATCAACTATCTGTCCTTTTAGTAACAACAGATTGAATATTATCTATTTCAGGGGCCTTTATATTTACTTGGTTTCCGTATGTGGTATGTCTTATCATGGATTTAGCTGGAGTTGACTACCATTCATATTCTCATAACATCTATCTTTTCTGTTCGATGGTAGCAAAAGTTTCTCTCACTTGGATCCCGGCGATATTTATAATCCGTCACAGCTATTACAGAAATGACTTGGACATAATGGCTAATGAAATGATTGAAAAAGTTGAAAAGCTAACAATGTCATCAGGAGAGTACAATTTAGACAGTGTAGGCATGTCTGTTGAAGGAAAAGCTACGGGCGAAATTGAATTTGTAGTAGACGATAATGATAGGATTGATTCAATACCTTCGCATCTGGTTCTCCTATCTTATAACAGAATAACAGAGAGTGACATGTAAAGGATTATAAGTATGTCACGACTATTGGACAATCAAACTATTTTAAATTAACATAAATGATTAGTGTTGAAGCAATTAATTTGATACAAATTGTTGTTTCCGACTTTCGTTTTCAGTTTTGTCTTTTTTTCTCATTTGAGCACCAAGCGTGGATACAGTATCTTGAAAAGGGGAGGGGCCCTGTTGTGAACGTATACATACAATGCTAAATATACAATACTACAAATGAATATACAATAGTCATTTGAAATATGGAAAATTCGTTCTATAAATAGGACTACGTGTATTTTTAAATACTTGTTGCGGGAATTAACATGCAAAAGTGTAATAGAGTGCTTTTTACCTTTTCTAAAATTAAATGTTTACTTCCAGCTTCCAAATAGGTCCATTATCTTCTTAGTTTTATATTTCAATCTCCAAAAACAGATTCAACGTCTTGAAACTACACTTCGGCGGAAGATGACGTTAACAATGGGAAAGAAGAAGTACGGGAACATATGGTTCCCATATGATAGATTGTTCCTCATAGTTATCAAATTCGTATTGCCCTGAAATGATAGCTTCTATATAGGGAAACGTGGGGTTAAAATGTAAAACTTTCTTCCATTGATGTTTCTATACGGACACATGATTTCATGAAAGTCTACCCCATACCAATAAAGGCACAAACCTGTGAGAAAGACCGAGTTTGTTTTCATAGGAAGGCCGAGTGTCTGTTGTAAAAAAAAAACAATGGAACAAGCGTAGTACATATATCAAAAATTAGATATAAAACAATTGTATTTATAACTGCGATGTCGCTATCGAAAAATGAAGACAAGACTGTGGCTACAACAGGTGAAACATACTCGTGGTCATGTATGACTCCGATTTTCGATAACGGTCAACCAAATAAAGATGACGTTCGTTAAACTTTCGAAGGGTGTCTTCATCTTTACCATTTTGAACACTATGTTTAATAACTTTCTTGTAATGTGCTTACCCTTCCAGAACACATTGGATAACCCGGGGTTTTGATGGAGTTTGTGTTGCTTAGTCTTTAGTTTTATATGTTGTGTTCTGTAGACTATTGTTTGTCTTTTGGTCGTTTTTGTTGGTTTGTTTGCAATAGCATTGTCGGTTTGTTCTCGAATGATGAGTTTTAATATTCCTTTCGTATCTTCCGCCTATCTTTGTAGATTTTATGGAAAACATAATATGAAACACTTGCACTTGATTGATGTACTCGTATACAAATATATTCTATATGCAAACGCTGTAGGAGTGGTGTTACTGAGAAATGGAATCTTCTCAAAGGGAAAAACTATAATAATGTCTATTCGTAAAATTTATGTATTAACCGACCCTCATTGTCAAGTTGTAGATGTAATTCAAAAATATGAAGATGATTTGCATGCCATCCTTTATTTAAAGTTTGGTGCGATATGCGATCAACGCAGTTGTCAAGCTTTATTTTTTCCGTTAGAAAACTTCATCCCTTTAGCGAATTGCGTTGACATTTTTAACATGTTTTGATTAAACCGTTTTTGGTAGACAAAACGTGCGTCTGGCGTACAAAATTTTAATCCGTGTATCTATGGTGAGTTTATTCATGCATTCTTTTGTTTAAATTAAAATTTTGATTAATTCTTTAAAATTGTCTTCAACTACTTAAGATAGGAATAAGTATTACCAGTCTCAGGGGTTGAAATGTCATATTTTACTGTCATTTAAGTGCTTAAAACAAAACATACATCTTTAATATAAGAAATGCATGTTATTACAAGTGATGCTTGTTTAAGTTGTATATTTGTTTCATGTGAAAGGTCGAGTTGTCTCTCTTATCTAATTTCATCTAGCCTTTCAGTTAATATATAAATAGTCCAATCTTGTATGTTGCATTAACTACATTTAAAATTGTAGACCTTCTTTTCAAGTACATTTGAACGAGGTGTGCTCGACTCCTATCTTAATTGATAAGCATTGCCAAAGATTTGCTGTTCTCCTTAGGTACCGCGGCTTCTTCTATCAATTCAGACTGGCCACCATGATATTGCCAATGTCGCTGAAATTAGCGTGAAACACCAAAATACAAAAAAGCAAACGATATAAATGATATATTTTGTCCTTACTGCAACAATCTATGTTAATTACAGAAAACTTTAATTTTGAATCTAAGAATAAATTAAGTAGTTTATTTATCATTACAAAATCAAAAAAAGGGGTGGTGGTGTTAGATTAGTTTCTATGTTGTTAAAAGTGGGTAGGATAAAATATATCAGGTTGAACATGGACAAATTTGTACTACATTGTAATATTTCAGTTATAATGAATGATATGAGGACATGTTTCAGATATATTATAGATTGTTGACTAATGAGAAGTTGATTGATTATTATACCTCGAAAACTCAAGATTATGCATCAGCTCACGTAGCCACAAATTAACACATGATAGAAAAGGGTAGCATTATTCAACTAATATTAAAATCTCATAAATCAGTTGGGAACATACAAATCAAAAGAAAACTTAAAAGAAGTAGAACACATAAACTCAAAAAGGAGCAAGAATGGATACGTCGATAGAGTAAGTGTCTTCTGTTATGTATGCATCACCCGCCATGCAAATTCACACTCACTTTAAATGTCACAATCGGGATTAGGAAACAATCGGTAAAGATCTCAAATCAGACACAGGCATATAGTATCAACCTGACAGTGTTCGTAACACTCAAAGATAACAAAGAGTACACTAATGGGTTGGATAGATATCTTTACTATATTTTAGGCTCTAACTTGTCCAAATTCTTTATCAGTTGGTTATATATTTCATCAGATATAACAGACGATTTTTAACTTTGCATCAGAAACATATTACTATTGAAACAAGTAATTAAAATCATATACATGAATTTTTCCTCACGGGTGTCAAAAGGCATTTGTTTCCTAATTCAAGCAACAGGCCCCTACAGGAATAAAGGTATCATCGATATTTCTTGTGAAAATTGATACATTAATAATGGTTTGCGGTAATGGCTACAATTAATAGACACAGCTGGTGATCATTTCAGCGGACGAGCGTAAAGTTGTGGAATTTTCCTGTTTTGCCTTTTAGAGATAACGCGTTTATTTCTTTCGTTGCCATCAGTCTGATCAATAATAAAAAATGTTATATGAAGATATACTTTTGAGTACAAAACAACAAACTGTTACCACGTGACATTACTGGTATCTGTTAGCGTTCTTGTGATATGATATGGTTCCAACATGTCAGTTCTAACAAAATGCAAACAAACGTCAGGTAATGTATCTCCGTTTTTAAGAAATGTCATAATTTCATAAAAATTGAATTATAACTTACGAGTTTAATTTTTTAAAACTAATGGTACTACTTCTTTATGTACAGTAGATTTACATGTGTCTTTTGGTCCTTTTTCTTTTTCTTTTTTTTTTTTGTCATGGCATGGTCACTTTTGTTTTCCACTAATGAATTTGAATGTCCCTTTAATATCTCTCACGTCTCTTTAAAGACGGTTTTGCTTGGTTTGGTTTTAAACACTCAAATGCCCTATTTTCGACTCTTAAGTTGTGATGATTTGTTTTGTTTGTGTTTTGTATAATGGCTTTCCGAACCTTTTGGTTTTGATCGATTTTAATGAAGGAAATTGGCGACAATGTTTTTTTATTATCTTATATATTTTGCATTTGGACAGTAATGCATGTTTAGTTATGCGTGAAACTATTGAACTAAAGTCAATGCAAATACTAATAAAGTCAATATGCAAGGATCATACTATAATGAACATTTTTGGTAGCCTTATATATAGAATACTAGTAAGTTTATTCCAATGAGCGATATCCACTACATAGAAAACTAATCAACACGAACCAAACCAAAACCGAAAAATGGACAAGATTGTGGTAACGAAAATTGGGCCATTTCCGGTGTCATCTGTTAAACAGATAATGGTCAACCAATTCGTGATAGCGTCCGTGGAAGTTTCGAAGTGATAACTTCACCAATTTGAACCTTTGGAAGGAGCAACCTTCTATTACAATTGGGCAGCTGATGTCATCTCTTTTGTAGTAAAATTTATGTTTTACAGAATTCATTGCCAATTTCGAGATATGAGTCATGATATAAAGCAGACTCAACTGTAACTGTGGTATCGTTTGTTCCCTCCCTAAAACAAGATATTTGAATCTATTTCCAATTGACATCTATTTAATTTGGAGTTCATGCCATTTCCTCAGGGTTTTATTCCGGATTTGTGTATGATATATTTTCCTAATTTATTAAGGGTCTTCCTCTTCCCGTTAATAAAAAGTCTTTCTCATTTTAATATTCAATAAGGGTCTTCCTCTTTCCGTTTTAACTACATATGTCTAAGGTCTTGAAAGATTGTGTCTGGAAACCGAACTGTTGACGTACGGACATTTATACGGTAATCGAAATATATCATATGCCGAACTCGACGTCCTCGCAACAAATCTAAAGATTTATTTTTTGATATATGGATGATTTATGTCATCTTATTCAACTGCGCGTGCATTGTCACATTATACTGATTCTATTTATAGAAGAGTTGAGTTCCTTGCATTAAACATGTTAAAGCTGATATAGCAGGATTATGAAGAAGAACAACTTAAATCGATACTTGCTTAAGCTTTTTCGGTCACCATGACGAATTGCTAGACCAACCTATTGTATGTGTGTCCCAACTCACAAACGACATGTATTCTTCGATCTTGGCTACCAGAATAGTCGTTTCTGTACCTATTGTGTTTTTCCCCAATTGTGAATTCTGACTTTGTGTGGCTCCACTTTACGTTTCCCATTTCGACGTACACATCCGGCTATGCTCGGCTTGGAGTTCGTGCAATTTCCTTATTTTTGGTGAAGAGTTGTCTCATTAGCAATCATACCACATCTTCTTATTTTTATATTTATCATATTTCTATGGCTAAAAATAATTTAGCTGAAGAACTGAAATGAAACAAACATTATCAACAAAACAGTTCCACAAATGAACTATTACATTTTAAACAGAAAATTTATATTACCACGAATTTGTCGATATTAGGCTTAAACAAGCTAAATATAATGACAGAAAGTTTAGCATATTTCACAAATGTCTAAA